CCAATGATTATTTAGTCACCTATGTGAATAGTCAAACAATTAATTTAATTGTAAATTTAGATTTTCAAAACATTTTTAACCAAATGTACATTGAACTATGATGACTGAAGTTAACTCCTGTACAATCCAAATAATGATTATAAAATAAAATAAGACTAATCGTTTTTTATGATGATCACTATTAATATATTAAATCGTGACGGCCCAAATGATTCTATCCTCTACAGGCCAAATAGTCCAGCATAATAACTGATGTCGTCCGCAACGACGAGGAGCTCAACAAACTGCTGGGAGGCGTCACCATCGCTCAGGGAGGCGTGCTGCCCAACATCCAGGCTGTGCTGCTGCCCAAGAAGACCGAGAAGGCCAAGTAAAGACGCCCCGAGACTCGACTCACAACAACGGCTCTTTTAAGAGCCACAAACTCTCAGAAAAGAGCACACTTCATAATCTTGTCATAATTGATATCCAGTCAGACCTTGGCAGAAAACCTATGGAAACGGATTCAAAATGATGTACACTTTCCTACATTAAAGCAACACAAGGGTTTTCTTGTCATGGGAGACGTTAAAATTCTGTGACACGGAGATTTGTGTATCTGCTCACGGTGTCTTTCAAAACCCAAGGCGAAACCCCCGACACGAAGACAGCGACATCGACATGTCCAGCAGGACGTATGTGCGCGGTACTGGTACTGGCTCCGTTTTTTAATGGGAGAGAATATCAGACTTCGCTGTACAGTGAAACTAACCCACTGCACAGGCTTCTATTTACCGTGTGTACATAAATAGACGGTAAATAGAAGCCTGCTGATCACGGCAAACACCAGGATTCAAAAGTACATTTCAGATATATAAAACACTAACAGAGTCAACTTGATGCTATTCATTCACATTTAGAGGAGACTCAATGCAGATTTACTGTTCTTATCTGCAGAAGACACTCCAGTGACAATGTGTCAGGTGCCAGCAAGGCTAGAACTGAAGTGAAAGAACCTGTGAACAGGAAGAACAATGTTGGATTTTACAACAGTTAGTGTTAGATAAGGACAGTGACCCTAACACTTTCAATTATTATCTATGTGTTCTGCTCTCAGCTCAGTTGAAGCATATCCCGGTGTATCTGTGACACTGTTCTCAGATTGATATTTTGTAGCCATAGAGCTGTACTTTATTAATGAAGTGTAGCCTGAATGATCCTGAGCAGCTCAGCCATGTGAGCTGCCAAACAGGAATGCCACAGATTCTGCTGATTGGGTTCATATTCTATAAAGAATAACCTCAGTAAGAAAGTCTGGACTACAGAAAAATAAACATTCATCTACTTGTTTTAACTCGGTACATGCACTGTAACTGTATGTGAAGCCTCAGATGTTTTGAATGAAACACAATGAACCCAGACACTTAGAGAAAACCTCCAGATCATAAAGAGCTGTCTGAGAGCTGATGGGGTTGCTGATTTCACAGAGGTACCTTCCACTGTCTGTTCTGTTCAGGACTTTGAAGGACAAGACTTGTTTTTGGTCATAAAGTACAATGTTTTCAGAAGGATTTAGCTCCTGTCCATTTATCAACCAGTTTCTGGTGAAGTTGGAACCAGAGGCATCAGAGATTAAAGTCACTGAGGAGCCCTCGATTCTCTCATTGGAGGAGGACTTGACATACATATTTGTGATTCTCTCTGTGGAAGGAAAAACAAAACAAAATCAGAATATCATTAGTTCAAAATTAAACTAGAAGAACTGAAGCATGTTCTGTGTGATTTGATGATTTTGAATGTTTTATAGCGTTTTAAATCTTGAAATGTTGACTTACTCAAAACAGAGATCCTCACTCTCCTGAGTTAATATTATTATATATTTTTTTCTTATTAAAACACACAAAGTGACTTTAAAATATACATTTTGTGAATGTTTCTAATACTACTTCACTGCACTAATGTCATAGTTTTAAACAGTTTTTGCTCTGTTCAAGGTTTATTTAACCCAACTGCAGAGACATTGTTGTATTTTACAGTATGTAGTGTTGTGGAACAGACTGCAAACATTAAAAAAGAACTGAAAAGTTGCTTTGAATCAAGGAGTCTGATTTATTGAAGCAATTGTGCATAAAATCACAGAACTGCCGGTCCCTGACAGAGACTCGTCTGTCCCTAAACTGTCACATAACAATGTAGACAGAGTCTTTACACCCCTCAGGGTACTTTGTTTAACAATAGATATCTGATGTACCATTTATGAACAGCCTAAACCCAGTAAAAGATCACTGATGTGAAGATTTCCAGAACAGTACACACATTCACAACTGTTAGAGTTAAACACAGAGTCTAAAACTCTTAAACAATCACTTATGTGATGCAGAAATGTAAGTAGTAAAAATGACATTAAAGTTACAAGTTTCGATTGTATGGATTGAAATCATTCTCATACACAGTTTCTTCATCATTGTTAGAGTTGTGTGTATTTGAAGTATTCTCGTAGACATGATGTTCATTCTGACCTGGATGTGGAGGTGTAATCTCACTTAAACTTTATTTTGAGAATATTTGATAAACTACAATAATACTTACTGTTATTCCTGAACTTTCTGCCGTTTCTGGAAAAAAATAAATGCAAATCAAACTTAACAGAGTCAGTGTACAGGAGACCTACATCCATATTCTAAATAAGACACTGAAGATATGGTGCTTCTGACTTACTGGTGTTTATACATCTGAAACCCTCCGACTGCAGCTCCAACAACGACCACTAATAAAGCAACAGTTATCCCAGCGATGGCTCCAGCTGAGAGGCCCTCTGGAGGAACTGCTGAATCTAAAGAAACACAGTGAGATCCAGTTAACTAGTGACCACAGCACCACTTAGTGTCCTCTCAGTGTCACTGCAGACTGTGCACATTGTGACTGGTGAATGTTGAATTATTGTGAGCAGCACAGCCATGTGAAGAGTCAAACAGGAAAACTCCACAGATCCAGTGATGATTTGGGTTCATATGATTTAAAGAAAACATATTCTGTAGAATTTACTTTTACTTTATTTTGTCCATGTTCTATCGGTGTTTCCTCAGTGTTCATTTGCTCATAGTTGTATTTTGATTGATCCTGTATGTGTGTGTGTGTGTGTGTGTGTGTGTGTGTGTGTGTGTGTGTGTGTGTGTGTGTGTGTGTGTGTGTGTGTGTAATCATGTGTTGTCCTGCATCTGAGGCTTATGTGCTCAGAACATTTCAGTTTGTTCAGTGGTCACAGGAAAGAATCAAATCTGTTACTTGCTGTGGTCAAAAGTCGTTTTAGATCAATATTGTGATTTACAAAGTACAACATGTAAATGTTTCTGTGTTATAGTGAAATATATGATAAAACATATATTTTCTCTAAAATGTAGCGTGTTTGACCACCAAGAAAGTCTGAACTACAGGAAAATAAACATAAATCCACTTTTTACCCGTTACATTCACTGTGACTGTATGTGAAGCCTCAGATGTTTCCGTTGTGATTTGATTTGAAGCTCGACAGATGTACTCTCCACTGTCTGAAGATCCAGTCATGGTTTTAGTATATTCACATGAGAGAGTGAGAACTGTCCCATCCTTTATCCAGGTGTATTTAGCAGTTGGTACAGAGTCACTCAGGCAGGTTCATATGAGTGTTTTATTCATCTGAATCTCTTTTGGACCTGAGATTTGAACATTTTCGGGTCCATCTGTAAAATAATGTTCTGTTAAAGGAAATGTTTTCCAGTAAATCAGGCATGTCCAAACTATGGCCCGGGGACCAAATGCGGCCCTCAGACTATTTTTTTCTTGGCCCTCAGGCTTTCAGGTGAATTGGCCCAAATTACCTTGCGTCAATTAAAAAAATAATTTTTTTACTGCAAGTTTTTTTGAAAATCTACCTTGTTATGATAATATTTAATATTTAGGATCTTTTATTTTGTATTTTAAGGATCTTAGCATGATTAAAGACTGATGGCTCATTCTAATGTGTTAAACATGCACACATTTCAATTATTTCCTGTACTGAGCACCAGTCTACTGCCCTCGATCGGCCCTCTGCTTCGTCTGTGTTTAGATATGTGGTCCTTGATGAAAAAAGTTTGGACACCCCTGCAGTAAATGAATGAAACATAATGAACCCAGACTCTTAGAGAAAACCTCCAGATCATAAAGAGCTGTCTGAGAGCTGATGGGGTTGCTGATTTCACAGAGGTACCTTCCACTGTCTTTTCTGTTCAGGACTTTGAAGGACAAGACTCGTTTTTGGTCATAAAAAACAATGTTTTCAGAAGGATTTAGCTCCTGTCCATTTATCAACCAGTTTCTGGTGAAGATGGAACCAGAGGCATCACAGATTAAGTTCACTGAGGAGCCCTCGATCGGCTCATTGGAGGATGGCACAACAGAAACTTTTGTGATTCTCCCTGTGAAAATTAAGAAAAAATCTGCAAACAAATGTTATCAATAAAAGACAAAATTTACAAGCTGTGAATGTTTTGTCCACTGTGGTGTCATGTAAAAGTAGATGAAGGACAGGTGTATGACACTGGAATAGTTCTTACTCAGCACAGAGATCCTCACAGGCTGAGACGTTGTATATTTGAGAGTTTTGCTGTTGAAAGCCTGACAGCTGTAGTCTCCACTATGAATCGTCTGCATGTTCTTCACTTGTATCTGTGCTCCAGTAAAAGACAACAACTCTCCATTGAAAAGCCATTTAAAGTGAGCTGCAGGTCTGGAGTCAGCTGAGCAGGACAGAGACACGTCTGAACCTTCCTCATAATAATCAAGTAAAGGAGAGCTCCTCAAAATGACATCATCAGGTCCATCTGAAAATATCAAATATAAATACACAGTTTAGAGTTGGACATGGGATTGTTTGTGCGTCTGAACTGTAGACATGCTTTACTCACAGCTGATGGAGACTTCTGCTGGGGCACTGGTGCTGCTACTGAAAGGATCAGACACTTTACATGTGAATGGTCCGTGGTCATAGCGCCACACAGTGGCTATAGTGAGAGTTGCTCCTCCATCAGTGAGGTGCACTCTGTCACTGAGTGTAACTTCAGAAGTGCCATTGAACCAGAGGAAAGTTGTCAGGTTGATCCCATCAGCAGAACAGGAGAGAGTCACAGAACTGTTGAACTCCACTAAGTCTGAGCTGCTCACTGTGATGCTCACATTAGACACTGGCTCTGAGGGAGGGGGACAGCACATGTTAGTCTACATATGAAAATAAAGCGTGGCTGGTGTTACAGACTGTTCACTAACAGTAAAAAAACACTTTGTTTAACTGATAACAGATGGAATGCCAAAAGGGTGCCTTTGTCCCTCAAGGAAAATAGACTCAAAAATTCTAACAAGCTTCTGCCAATATTAGTTTTGAATTCATGTGCTCATTAAATAAATAGTGAATAATAATGTGTGGCAGGTTGGGGTATATGCCACTTTTCCTCGCAGGCACACCTACAGTTGTGGATAAAATTGTTGGTACCCCTCTGACAATGAAAGAAAAATCAGCAATAATCACGGAAATAACTTGAAACCTTGAGAAAAAGCAATAATAAATATAAAATTTACTGAAAATTATCCAACAAAAAATCAAACATTTCTTTTCACCTGTGATTCAACAGAATTTTTAGAAAAAAACAAAATGATTTCTGTAACTGTCGATGAGACTTCTGCTCTGTTCAACTAGTATTTTGACCCATTTCTTGTGAGCAAATTGTTGTAGTTGCCTGAGGTTTGAAAGATGCCTTCTCCAGACACCATGTTTCAGCTCATTTCACAGATGTTCAGGAGATCTGGGCTCACAGAAGAACACTCCAGAACAGTCCAGTGTTCTGTTCTTAGTCATTCTTGTGTGTTTTTAGCTGTGTGTGTTTGGGGTCATTATCCTGTTGGAAGTCCCATGACCTACGACTGAGACTGAGCTTTCTGACACTAGGCAACACATTTTGTTCCAGAATACCTTGATAGTTTAGAGATTTCATTGTACCTTGCACAGATTCAAAACACCCTGTGCCAGATGCAGCAAAACAGCCCCAGAACAAAACCAAGCCTCCTCCGTGTTTCACAGTAGGGACAGTGTTCTTTTCTTAGTCTGCTTCATTTTTGAGCTTCACTTTTGTCTCATCTGTGCAAAAAAACATTCTTCCAGAAACTTTGTGGCTTGTCAATATGTCAATATGTGGTGGATGGTGCGATCTGACACTGATGTACCTCGCCCTTCGAGTTCACATTTAATTTGTTTGGAGGCTGTTCTGGGCTCTTTGGTTCCATTCGTATGATCCATCTCTTCAATTTGTCATCAATTTTCCTCTTGCGGCCACGTCCAGGGAGGTTGGCTTCAGTCCTGTGGACCTTAAACTTGTGAAGAACGTGTGTAACTGTAATCACAGGAACATCAAACTGCTTGGAGATGATGTTATTGACTTTATCTTTAACCTGCTTGTCTATTATTTTCTTTCTAGTCTCCTGACACAGTTCTCTTCTTCTCTTTCTCTGGTCCATGTTCAGTATTGTGTCCATCATGTCTCCAAACAGCACAATGACACATGTCGCCCTTTAAACAGACAGACTGACCGAGAACAAGTTTGAAGACACCTGTGATGTAGATTAGAGACACACCGAAGTTTAACATGTCTCTATTGTCCAATTATTTACAGTCTTTTC